GGTAAGCAAACACGACAATTTAAAGGTACAGCTACTCGAAGTGCAGCGATGAAACTAATAGTAAGTGAATGAGCCATGGAGATTTGCGGGGGCGGGAGTCGCTGCAGCAGCTGTAACGAAGTAGGGAGAGCGAAGGGAAGGAGCGGAGAGTACGTGCTGCGTCACTATGTCCCTGCAGCAGCATAGAATACAACAGTTTCGAAAATCCCGCATCCTCATTTGTCTCTAAATTCCCTGGAGAGGCGCGAATAAAATATCCAGCCGGTCGGCGTCGAGCGTGCCTGCCAAGAGCGTTTGGTATTCAGCACCGGATTGCAGCAGCAGCAGAGTAGCATCGGCTCGAGTCGAGTAACTGCAGCCGCTATCAGTCCGATGTATGTACGTAGGCGAGTTGCGAGCGACTATATAACATGCGCACTACACCTATGCATGGGTGGCAACGTCGTCGTCGTCGTCGTCGTCTATAGTCACTCCAGGTTGTCGCTGCGAGTCGAGTGCTGCGCGATGAGAGGCCAGAACAACTCTCATTTTTCCTCTTCGCCTGTGTAATGCTGCGTATTTTTTTCTTTTTATTCGTTCTGGCTCGTTGCTAGCTTTGCGGATTGCGCACTCTTACTTGTGGCTGCATCAAACACAGGCGCTTTGCCACGAGGCCTTCTGACTCTCGGCCTCTGCGACAGCTTGATGACATTATTTTCAAGTTCGTTTGAAAGTAAAAAAACTGTACGTACCCGGTATAATTAATTAACATGATTAATTCAATATTCTTATACAGAGAATTTCATAATTTAGTGAATTCACGAGGAAATTTTTACGTCGTTCTGTAAAATTTTCGAATTTTTCTCTTGCAACGAATGCCTACTCGAATGGGTAGTGGCCAAAAAATTTTATATTCCAGTTCATATTTGCGGCCGGGATCTGCGATAATTTTTGCTCCTCTCATTGTCGCGCTTTTACATTGTTTTATTTTTAAAAGAACACGTGACTCGCGCTTCGAGGTACATTTTCTCTGAATTAGTCGCCGCTGTGCATAGCAGTGTTAGCAGCAGCTAGTCGGCAAGAAACAAAAACGAAAAGAAAGAACTGCAGCCAAGTACTCGTCCCCCTCTCTTTCGCTATTAAATTTTTCAGAAAATGGCTTTTCCAAACTGAATTACCCTGCTTCCACTGCAGTCTCGGCACTCGCTCTCTCTCTCTCTCTGTCTCCCTCTCTCCTTCTCTTTAGCGGCGTATGCGGCTTGCGCGTTAATTATGAAATGTATGACATGAATCCTTTTTGCTCTCGGCGAAAAATTCTATTTAGCCCTGTACGGTCTGCGCGTAGGAAACAAAAAATTTAATTCCAGACCTCTGACTATTCTATCGCATTATAAATGTGACGTATGTGCGCGGGGTGTGTTTGCTTTAATGAATTTAATAACTTGTGACAGGATGTGTGTATGAAGCAGCAGCAGCACTAGACTCGCTGAGTAACTGCTTGTATGTATATTGTTTGAAGGTGTTAAGCGACAGCGACCTATTTTCTCTGCAAACGTATTCATTTACAATTCAAGTCCTTTACAAAAGCGATACGTCAGATTCGAGCGTCGCATAAATATATATTTATATATCGTATAATATCGATTGCCACTCGATGATTATTATCCCCGAGGCCAACCGGTGCGCAGAGCTTGCGCTGCGAGGCTTTTTCTTGTCACGCGAGACTGAACTGCAGTTCGCGCTTTGCGAATGTAAACAGCCATATAGAGTCCATGGCGGAGCAGGACGGCGACGCGGGCTTTATCGGGGCTTTATCGAGCTTTATTCGCTGTGTAACGGCCAGTGCGGAGCATCTACGGGGGGAATTTCGTATTCGGGCTGCGTGCACTCGGGGCAACACTTTTACTTTTTTTTTGTGCGGCATACGCAGCCACTGTACTTCCACTGAATAACACTTTACGTCTTATTTGCCTTGCGTTTTTTCGCTCTATTTATTCGTAATTTTATACCTTAAAAATCCACTGAATTCTCTTTGAAATGAAAAAAGAACCGATTCAACGAATGGACGCTTGAAAAGCATCGATCTATCGTTTGAAAAAATAAGAGGTCGGAGTTGCCAAGAGAATTTTAATCTTCTAACGTCTTGTTGTCGATGCGAGAGTAAGAAAATATTGCTTAGAAAAATATAAATGATTTACAACTTCCGAATTATAATTTATACCTAAGCGAGAGGCCAGTCAAAAGTCCGGATCTTCCAAGTTCATGAGCGCGTTAATAATGGCAACATCTTTTGGATATCTAGTCTTGTAATGGTGTAATTGAAACAACTTTCTTCCTTAACACGTGCGTGTGTGTGTGTAAATGGAATATAAGGCTGCTGAGGTGCGGTGCTTTCATCTCCGAGGCCGCTGCTCGTGTGGGCTGCTCTCGGCACACAGCTTGGAGCCGTAACCTACTTATTTAACAAACTTTATATGCACCGCGGGCAAAAGACAGGCGCTCGCGCGTCAAAGTTTAACTGTGTTTCGCGGAGCTCCAAGAGAAGTGCAGTGCTTTTGCCCGCGCGTAGTCGTACCTTCGCCAGCAGCGCCGCGCTTCAGCACCACCATCTCGGCTGCTGCTGTTGCTCCGTCGGTTTCCTATTTTCAAAATAACTTCAATTGATGCCTCGCAGGCTGATGCAGTGCAGCAGCTCATTTGAAACTATACCTATGCGTAAGTGGCAAATGAGATTTATTTCTTCCGTACTAGCGAGAAAAACTCGCCTGCGTGCGTGCGTCGAAGCAGTCACAACATAATTGTGAATTATTTTAGCAAAGATACGATCACTTGACCAAGACTACGATAAGCTAAATATAATAAGAAACGAAATGGACTTGCAAAGGCGAAATAGCGAAATCGAAAAATAGCCAAGTGTTACGTGTCAAAAAAATATTAAAAATTACAGTGGATCGTCGTAAAAAATAAAAAGGGGCTGTAAGTCGGAGGGATCAGGATAAAAGGTCGTGGCGCGAGATTAAGCCCGAAGATGCAGCGCGTAGCATCAGCCGCACACAAACACTTAAAAACAAGTGCAAAAAGTGCTCGCCAGCTAGCTCTGTGTGTGTGCAAGCTAGCGAGTAGGATCCATTGCGATCTCGAGATGCGATGCACGCGTAGGAGCAGCTCGCTCGGCCGTGTTACCTGCTTTTATCGACGCTATATAAAGGCTTTATGGCCGCTGTATACGGGCTCGAGCGCGAACGCAACAATCTCGTTTCAGATCCTCGACGTATAGCTAGCTAGCTAGCAGCAGCCGCACACTGCTCCTGAGCTCGTGCTGCACGCACAACTTTGAGTGTTTTGCGCGCATTGAGATGATTACAAGCTCTGCTGCTGCAGCACTGCCTCGGAGCCGCTTTGTGTATAGACTTTCAAGCTTATCTCGCTAGCCAGAAATTTTAAGCCCTCGCGCGCGCACGCCCTATGCTTGCGCGCTGCAATTAATTTTCTCGCGCTTCGATCGACTGCGACGTGTCTCGCTCGCAGTGCACCGGGCCACGGAGTCGAGCGCCGAGCACCTAGCTGCGACAGGACACGCGACTATACGAAGAAAGCGGCGCACAGCTATTATGCAGCTGCGCGAGCTCGACGCGTACAAAGGTGCCTCGGCGAGAGCAAATAGTCCTTCTTCGAGATACGCTTAATCAGAAAATTATCCGAGCGACTCTCTGCGCGTACCGCGCGGCCTTTTGCAGCTCAAGCTTCTCATTTACATATAGCAGCTACGGTTTTATGGAAACATCAACTCGCTCGCTCTTCTCGCCGAGTCACAGATAAGACGAGGCAATAATTTTTATCGCGCCTATGGATCTGCTTTAATCGTTACATCTCGCGTCTGGCGAGGTTTACACCTAACGAGCCACGCTTTGGCAGCGTGGCAGAGGTAAACACCCATGACCCAACGTACGTGTATACGGGCGTGAATTTATTTCTGACGATCGTCGAGTTCTATGTACCTGTACACTTTCGTCAGCTGCCCTGCTAATTAAGCAACTTTTGCTACCTTCGATGGACATTTACGCGTTGAGCTCGCTAACCGGATAACAGGCTCCAACGACATCGAGTAAAATCCACAGAGTCCTGTGGAATATTCCTGAAATAGCGCTTGAATTTCATCCATTAACGATCGAGCGCAGTACGAAAATTCCCTATGGATCCGCTGTTATTTTTAGAATCAAATCGCCGCCCAAACCAATTCACCGGTAAACTAAGCCGAAATAATGGAATTATGCACTTGGCGAAGAAAGTCAAGCGATACGAGGAAAAGTTGCGTGCGAGCCGCATGAAAATAGACTAACGGTGCGAAAATTACACGAACTACAGCATTTTGTAAATTACAATATAATTAACGAGTATTAATTCATACGGATAAATTGTACGTTACGTTAGGTGAATACTCACTCGTTGACAAGAAGCAAAATATTTGCGAGTCTAGAGATAGCTACGCCGCATGCGGGCTCGTGCGTCGTGTGCGTTGCAGCGCATGCAAATTAAAGTTCAGTAGGCTTGTAAAGAATTGAATGCGATGCTCGTGGCATACTCGAAAAGCTTTGGGGCAAAATTGTTTTACGCTTCAAGCCGAGCGTCAAAAACTTTTGTGTTATACGTGCTCGAGAACGGACACAGGCGCGTGAAAGAGAAAAAACACGCTTTATGCTATATAGATAGACGGCAGAAGAGCGAAGCGCGTTGCACGCGTGCGTATGCGTCGTCCTCCTGTGGAATTTCATTTTGGAAGAACAATAAACAGCTGTCGGTCGGTTTGCTCGGTGCGAGGGCGCTCCAGCCAAGAGAGGCGCGTGCAGGCGCATTTTTTCCATCGGTCCGAGTTTTCACCGGGGATAAATAACAATGCTTACGATTCTGACAAAAAAAAAGAGGAAAGATAATAGATTGGGAGAGGGACCCTCAAGCTTATTATAATATGTGGTTTTTGTACCGATTGATTAATAATGTTTTTAAACGTATTTTTGTTACAGAAATGAGTCATCGGTAAACAAAAGTTTAAAGAGATCAGTAAATTGATTCAACGCTGCATCAGGATGCGTTACCTTCTATTACTGGTAAGTCTTTGCGATAGTAACTTTATTTTCACTAGTTGTATTTGAATGATAAAATATTAAAATGAGCTTATTCGCTTAAAAGTTGATTCGCGAATTTTTTTTCATACTTTAATGGCATTCAATAATAAGTGATGTCCCTTGGCTGCTGCTTTTTATAAAATTTCAATTTACTTTGTCAAAAGATTATGTTTTGCACATAATAAGCCCTTGCTTGATCTCTATATTTCATGTCCCTGTTCATCAAATTTAGATTGTGCGCAAAGGTAGCTGGAAAATCTTTACTGGTTCAACGGATGACGGCGATGAATTCTAAAGAAATATTCTTTACTTTTGATGTCACAGGCGTGCAGCTTGTACAGAATAATAATTGAAAATATTAATTGAATTTTTAACTTCTCGCGTCAATATTTAATAACGTTGGTTAAAGAGATGCTGGAGCCGAAGAAAAAAAATGAAATTATTGATCGATAGTGTAAAGTGTTTGGAAGGCCCTTTGGGTTTCTCAACAGAAAACCAACTGTGAAATATTTAATGGACAATATATTCTCAGCGAATACATCTAACACGATAAAACGAAATTCATTGTTCGAGCTCATAAGTGTATTAGTTCGAGCTATATTTATTAATATATAAAAACGTCAGTAGAACACACGATAATTGGCACTACAGAAAGCGACTAAAAAAGCTTTCGAGTGCTCTCCTTGCACATTTCATTAGCTACTTGATATGTTAATTCAAACTACGACTCTGGCCGACCATGAAAAAAATTGCTTCCGTGTGAGAGTGGGACAAAAGATGCCGATGTAAATCGTTTACCGTTTGGATCGAGGCTCGCGCGCGCTTGCAAGTGACCCCCGTATAACGTCCGTAACCCTCTCGCGCGGTACCTTGGCACAGGCCGAATAATTCACTGCTCCGCTTTTGGATGAATGGCAAGCGCAGTAGCTGGAAACTTGGCTCTCTTTCTTCGTCCTTCTGCGGAACGGAGCTCAAGTATCAATCTTAGAGGCAGCGCGAGAAGACTTAATTTACGAAGACGAAGTTGGGCCATACGCGGCCAGCGAAGTTATATCTCAGAAGTAGTTTTTCATCGCGTGCGTATACACAATATATATGGGTCAAAATAATACTTTTTTACAAAACCGTGCGCACGTATGTCACCGATCTTGACGCGCTTTTGGTATGTTATAGTACATGGTAAAAAGGTCCCAAAAAAAAATTTTTAGACCCCCTCCCCCCTCCTACCCCCCACTTCCGGTATAAACGTCCATTTTCGATCTATATTTTTTCTGAGGACATGAAGCAAGTAAAAAATCTGAAAAAATTCATAAAAATACTTTTCCACAATCCAAACAACCTTGAATTTTTTCAGATTTTTTGAGTGCTTCAGGCCTTCAGATAAAATCATTGAAAATTTCAAAAATCGAGATACGGCGGTATGAGCCGATGTAGTACTCGGAAATTTTTTCAGTTATTTTTCGCATTAAAAAACATAACCTCAATTTTTTTCAGATTTTTTCAGATTACCTAACGCACCTTTTGAAGCCAAAAACCGATTTTTTTGACGAAAATAATTTTTTTAGGACAGTACGGAGCCTCGAAAAATCTGAAAAAAATTTTTTCTTGTTTTTTTCATCAAAATACGTAATCTCAAATTTTTTCAGATTTTTTAATTGAAGGCGATAGCTTCTAGGGCCGAAAAATGCTATTTTTAACAAAAAATGGTTCCTAGAACCCGATGGTTCCGGTGAAAAAATTTGAAAATATTTTTTTTGAATTCCTTGTCAAATTTTAATAAATTTTGACCGTTTCAAAAGTTCGATTGAAGCTTCCTAGCTCATTTTAGAGCATCAAACGAGTTTTATCATTCCTTAATGTCTTCAGAAACGTCTTCAGATATTTTGCACTAATCTTTGTCCTGCTCTAAAATGAGCTAGGAAGCTTCAATCGAACTTTTGAAACGGTCAAAATTTATTAAAATTTGACAAGGAATTCAAAAAAAATATTTTCAAATTTTTTCACCGGAACCATCGGGTTCTAGGAACCATTTTTTGTTAAAAATAGCATTTTTCGGCCCTAGAAGCTATCGCCTTCAATTAAAAAATCTGAAAAAATTTGAGATTACGTATTTTGATGAAAAAAACAAGAAAAAATTTTTTTCAGATTTTTCGAGGCTCCGTACTGTCCTAAAAAAATTATTTTCGTCAAAAAAATCGGTTTTTGGCTTCAAAAGGTGCGTTAGGTAATCTGAAAAAATCTGAAAAAAATTGAGGTTATGTTTTTTAATGCGAAAAATAACTGAAAAAATTTCCGAGTACTACATCGGCTCATACCGCCGTATCTCGATTTTTGAAATTTTCAATGATTTTATCTGAAGGCCTGAAGCACTCAAAAAATCTGAAAAAATTCAAGGTTGTTTGGATTGTGGAAAAGTATTTTTATGAATTTTTTCAGATTTTTTACTTGCTTCATGTCCTCAGAAAAAATATAGATCGAAAATGGACGTTTATACCGGAAGTGGGGGGTAGGAGGGGGGAGGGGGTCTAAAAATTTTTTTTTGGGACCTTTTTACCATGTACTATAACATACCAAAAGCGCGTCAAGATCGGTGACATACGTGCGCACGGTTTTGTAAAAAAGTATTATTTTGACCCATATATATGCCATGCCGATGCGTCAGCGCTGCAGTACTTATCCTGTATATATATGTAGCTGGCCAGCAGTGTGAAAGAGGATACGCGTGCGCAGGAGGCGAGATGCAGCAGGAATAAAAAATCATCCGTCACGCGCGGCATTGTATAACAGAAAGAGCGAGAGAGAGAGAGAGAGAGAGAGAGAGAACGAGAGAAAGAGAGAAAAGAGTATGGGGCGCGCGCGCGCGAGTCAAAAGAGAATGAAGGGCCGAGCGGAAAGAAATATTGGCGTGAACGCTGCAGCGAGGCAATTCGTAATCGTTTGTCAGAAACTGTATACCATAAAAACAGGCTAGTCCTCCGCGCGTATGCTCGTCCTTCCTTCTGACCGCGACGTTACAGCCGCGCGCAATCAGATCCTTGTACTCCCTCTCTTTTATATGCAAACCTCTTAGACATTTAAATGAGTAAAGCGCTGAATTCGACGCTTCGTGACTTATTTGATCGCTAATAATTTAAGACATTTTATGAGTCGACGTTGTTCCTTGCGCAAGAACATTCTGCATATCGCAAGAATACAATCCATTTTTCTTTCGATTTTCGATTAGTCTTTGTTATTCACTCGTTCGACGTGCACACATTCTTGAGTTACTTAAAAAATCGCACCTCTTGAACGTGAAAGTGAAAAATATTTATAACACTTGACTTTTTTTGTATGGTTACGGGCAAGCTTAATATTGCTGAACTTGGCGTCGATTCATCTTCGAGCGCCTGATGGAGAAATTAGTATTATAAATGCAGCCTTCTCTACAGCCCATTTGGAACAAGGCATCGGTAAACGGGCCTTGTGTTGCATTTATCAAATATGCGACGTAGTACGTGTTAAGAATATTTGTGTCGCGTGCGCTCCAAGCCTGGCACTTTCAAAAATAAATTTACGAGATGAGCGAAATGCAAAATGAAGCTTGCCCCTATCAAGCTCAAATAATTTACCATTAATGACCTGTATTGCACACTCCGCAGATTTATAAATACTAATTGGCATTTGTATAAACTTATGGTGATATCTGCATGTATTTATTTTATTGTTACGTTTACTATGAGCGAGTTGGCCGAATTGGACTGTATGCGCGCTTATATTATTGTATATAAGATTAATGATAAATCGTGGATTGTATGGGCTCCGCGCGCATGCGAATTCGTCTGCTGGTAATTATACGCATTGTTCTCGTGAATTTCAATTTTCCATATGCCGGGCATAAAAAGCTCGTTGCGCAGCATCGTTGAAATATTTATGCCATACTTTCGTCGTTCTACATATATATTAAACGCGCTTATATATGCCGAGTGCGCACACAATGGGCGCATACGCGAATGGATTTTATTCTTTGTAGCTCGGCTGGCTTTTGTCGCGATGTATCGGTTTTTCGACTTGTTCGTCGTTAAAGGACACTTATCGATACGTGATAAAATACAAGCCTTGCGCGATAAATAATCGCAAACAAATATTATGGGGGCATCATTGCGCGAGCCGCGGGAGGTATACGTAGTACCGCAGCCAATCTCGGAGCCGAGTCCTCGGTCGAATTTCAGCTGCAGCGCAACCGCCTGCCGGGACCGAGTTCGTCGTCGTGCCCCCGCAAATTACCATCGTTTTTCAGCCAACGTTTATAGCCTTACGCAAGATCGGCATCGATCTTGTGCTCTTGGCCGCGCACAGTTGCGGACTTGGGAGTTTGTACCCGCGTGGCATTTTCATTAGTTACAAGCGCAAAACAAACCAAGTTATGGCACAACTCGTCGTCTGATTATTTTCTAATATAAGAACATGCTGTTTACTCCGTGTGTCCGCTGCGAGTAAACTGCGACGGCGCCACGACATGCTAGCGTGCGGGTGGCTGCTCTGCTCCTTTCCGATGGCATTTTCTACTCCTCGTTGCTCTGTCTCTCTTTCTCCTTCCCACTCCCTCCTCTCTCTCTCTCTCTCTCTCTCTCACTCTTGGCACGCCGACAAAAAGAAGAGGTACTACTGGCACTACTACGTTTATCGGTGCTCCGACAAAAAAGATGAAGATAACAATGTGGCTCTCGCTCTCTCTCTCTCTTTCTCTCTCTTCCCTCTCCAAGTTGGGCGTGCCTTGGCGTCCTGCTTGTTACTCGTCGTGCTGCACTCTCCGCGCGCGTGCAGACTTTACGTGTATATGCAATAAGTGCGTGACTGCGCGACTTGCCAAGATGTACTACATTTGTGCGCGCTGCAGCTTCGCGAATGTTGCTCGATCGAGGAAAAAGATCGATTGAAAAGCTGTCCGACGTTGACATCTGATGTACTTTAATGGAACGATTGGTTATTCTTTTCCGTTATTC